GGGCCTCAGTTTAATGTCTCATCTGAACCACAGCACCTCTGACAACGCAGTGGGTCCCCCCAATACTGCACACATGGTACAACAGGGACTGTGAGCTCAGAGTCCCCATATGGGATTTCAACTCACGACCCTCTGACACAAAAGCGTTGTTGAATGAGCCAAGTTGATGATACCTTATTGAGGCAGTAATGTTTAGCTGTTAATATTGGCATGAGACAACTACAACAACAACAAATTAATGTGTGTAGCACCTTTCACGTCGGGAGGACGTGCCAAGGCGCTGGAGACGCGAGCGTGGTACTTAAAAAGGAAACCGACTGTGTTCAGAGTACTCTAGAAACTGAAGAAAATAACACGTTTAGAAGAATAATTCTCCAGCTGAATTGAGATGTGATGCTTTAAGACGCTTCTTGATGGGGCCCACTTCCCCCTGTGTGGACCTGCTCCATGATGTGGGCTATGGGGAAAGGCTGGAACGTTAGCATTGAAGTTAGCAGGATCTGGGAGTTGCCTGAACGCCCAGAACTGTGGAGTACAGTGTGTCCCAGCCAACGTTTAACGTCCAGAATCCTGCTAATCTCAATCGAGCCTCTTTGCTTTGTCGGAATGGTTAGACGCTGGAGGAGACAGAATTTAGGGAGCATCTTCCCCCCCAAAAAATTACAAATCAACACCATTTAACCACACGCCCACTATCCGCATGTCCGGAAGTTAAGTCCGACTGCAATGTTGGCAAATGCTTTTACACAAGCAGCAATAACAGCAAACTACGTTTACACAGTACCTTTCACGGCGGGAGGACAGTCAAAGATTTGGACCTGAGCAGGGGGTTGGGATTAGGAAGGCGTGATGCTATAAGGTATGTGATTTCCGCCATCCCCCCCCACCCCCAAGTATTGTGAGGATGAGATATGATCAAGTCCAGGATAAGACTGTCACATACCCACCCCACACACAAACACAGCGTATTCGATGGCTTGTGAGAATAGCCACGTCTGATCCTATCTAACAAAAGCATCGGACAACTTTCACTCGGGAGGGGGTGGGGGAGTGGGGGAAATCACAAAACCGCAAGGAACCAACTAACCTTTTTCCCTCTCACCTGGAGCAAACCTATAGCCCTGAATGCTGTTCCCTACCTCCTTGCAAATAGTGTTACATGATATTTAACAATCAACAGGGAGATAGGACCTGGGGTTACGCTGTCATCTGAAGAATAGGACCGTTGATAATACAATGCACATCCCTCTACCCGCCTTGGTTGTTGCCTTAGACTCGATGTCCAGTCTTGAATTTACGAAGCCCTGACTGACCCAGTGTGTGAACGAGGGAAAAGTGGTACTAAACACACAATTAAACTCACGATTCTCATCAAAAGTCTCTGCGTTTCTGTTTCGATCGACTGGGCAAAACTCAAAACTGCGGGGAACAGAAAAAGTGGACTGTCGACCCATTTAAAAACAGGTGCGAATGTGCCGCTTCTGAGAGGGCTATTGTATAGCCAGGGAGAAGAGATTTTTTGTTGCATAGACTTCCTGTGGTTGATGTTGCAACAACAATATATCCAGCAATTGAGTCACTAATTTTACAAATATGATGAGCAGGAGTTAAGGTTATTCCCATACAGAAACCACCTGTCTTTACACTAACAAAACGTCAGCATATTGAGTGCAAGCATCAGAGGTTTGAGGAGAAGGCGATAACTCCCTTTGATAGTTGTATCCCTCTTTATAGTTTTCAATCCACTTTTCTGCCCTCCATCGGTCCGCTGGGCAGAGGACGCCTAGCCAAAGGCTCATCGCAAGGGTTCTTGCTCCTGTTATCTGTCCCTTCGCTTTTCAAATAATGCCAAGGAAACTTTAACGTTCGCCTGGACAGGTACAGACGGGACCTCGGTTTAATAATAATGTATTTGATACAGGGCCTTATCATGTCGTTGGGACATTTCAAAGCGCTTCACAGGATACACTGTAAAGTGGATTGACTATGTATTTTGTGTGCGAAATGCGGCAGCCAATTGCGCACAGCAAGGTCCCACAAAAAGTTGTGGATTGAGCGACCAATTTTATTTGGGGGATTGTTGACACCAGGAGAAACTCCCCTTCTCTTTTCGAATAGTGCCAAGGGATCTTTACCATCCACTTGAACAGGCAGATGGGACCTCGGTTTAACATCTTGTCCAAAGGATGGCACTTCCGTCAATGCAACAGAGCTTGGGTGCAAGGTATGACTTAATGAGCCGGAATTCGGCAATTATTTGACTTTGTGTGCTGACTGGTAGACATTCGATCACATCCTGCTAGGAGGAGCCTTAGAATTTTATGCCCCACCTAATAGCCACCTTATACCAGGGTTCTACTGTACCTTACAATTGTCGACACTTGCATCACACAAGAGCCTTCACTCTTAACTCACACAGGTCATTCGACTACAACAGGAAAGGGAAGATGTGGTTTGTTCGAGGCACGTGGACGCCCTGCCTCATGGGCTGATTTCTGCATGGCGAGTACCGACTTTCAGCAGAGCATCACAAACTCCAAAGGAATTCTCGGGTGATGAGAAGCTTTTGTGGAACCAAAACACATGAAAAGGCTCCGTTCAACCCTCTGGCGTCCAGGGTAAGGATTTAACTTCAATGCACAGCCACCAGACAAATGTATTAAAAGGAAATCACTAATAAAAGCCAGCCAACTGAATCCCTAATGTCTTTCTCTTTCCCCCAAATGGCAGCAGGTTAAGACACTATAGGACATCAGCTGATTAGGAACAGGTTCTGTGCTTGTCCTTTTGAGCAGGGAATAGAAAAGTTAAACCATTTGTGAAATTATTACACACATAGCACCTCGCAAGAAAGGTTCAGATGATGAAGGCCCCGGTCCCATTTTATCTGATTCGTTCTGAACACCAATCCTGCCTGTCTTCCTATTTCCAGCATCAAATTTCGCCCTAGAATACAGGCAATTCACTTTACAGAATATTCCGTGCAGCGCTTTTAGACGCGATACGGACCTGTATCGAATGCAAGGATTATTACTATTATTATAAACTATTTCTTAAATGAGTCTCAGTGTCCTGGTAACCTGGTTTTGCTTGCTCTTTTAAAGGTATGAACCATGATCCCCACATTCACGCTTCCCCAGCCTCTTTATCTCCCGATTCCTGAAAATTCAATCTACTTGGGGTCAAGGAACCGGTGGAGCTGAGGGAGGGAGGCTCACGGAGCTTGTTGTAGAGGATACTGGAATTGTGGAGTTCTGGATGGTCTGCAGCTTGTGTAGGGAGAAACAGCGGAGTCTGGCAAACAAGGCATTAGAATAGCTGAACCTGTATATTATGAAGGTGTGGATGAGGGAGCTACCAGTCCAGGACATTTAAGCCCGGTAACATTTAAAAGGGAATTGATGAATGATCAAGGTACAGGGAAAGAGCAGAGAATGAGACTTGAGTGGAGAGCGTGTCAAGTAGGGAAGATTCAATCAGCAAACATAAAGTTGTAATTCTATGATTGTAAGAGCAAAGGGACAAATGTGAAACTACTGACACATGAGGAGACCAACAATGTTGAGTGCAGAGACAAGTTGAAATGAATTACTCTGGCCTTCGACACACTTTAGCGGCGAGGCCAAATGTGGAATATTGTCTGCCATTTTGGGCACCTTAGAAGGATGGGGGAAAACAGACATACCCACATGACTGAAGTTAATATTAGCATCCCCTACATTAAGATTTGCCCTCCTGCTCTACGTACTGATGTCGTGTGGGGAGTCGGTGTGATTCTCCCTTAATGCGATGGACTATCCTGCAGCACTCATTATCTAGGCTCACAAATAAAGGTCAGCTAGTTGAACAACTTACAGGGATAACCCTAATTTCCACCCAGGAAACAGCAAGAGGAGAGGCAAGAGATATTGCAGATAAGCAAGTTGTTTTGCCCACAAAATACAGTCAATCCACTTTCCACTTTACTGTGAAGTGCTCTGAGATGTCTTGAAGACGTGATCAGGCGTTATATCAAATGCAAGGATTATTATTATTGCTCATTCAAGACCAGAACTGGAAGGTTCAGGTAAAAAATACGTCCGCAAAAACAACAACTTGCATTTATAGAACACCTTTCATGTGGACTAGCATCTCGGAGCGCCGATAACAATAACCCTTGCATTTGATATAGCACCTTATCATGTTGTTCAGACGTGTCAAAGCGCTTCACAGAATATAACAACAACAACAAAATTAAATTTGTGTAGCGCCTTCCATGTCGAGAAGATGTTCCAAGGCGCTGGACAGACAGAGTACGGACCCGAGCTGAGGGTCGAGGTGGGGGAGGGCACGGGGAGGAGGCAGGAGCAGGGAGATCGAAAGAACGGTTGAAGAGGAGGGTCTAGAAGGTGGCGAGGGAGGGGGCAGGACGGAGGGACTGCAGGATGGAGTTCCAGAGGGTGGTTGCAGAGTGGCAGAAGGCCCGCCCACTGTTAGCGGGGTGAGCAAGGCGGGGGACTTGAAGCAGGCCGGAGCCCCCCGAGCGGAGGGAGCGAACAGGGTGGTAGGGGGTTAAGAGGTCGTAGAGGTAGGGGGAAGCAAGCTTGTGGAGGGCTTTGAAGGCGAGGACCAGGATCTTAAACTGTATCCTCTGTGTGATGGGAAGCCAGTGGAGTCGGGCAAGAATAGGGGTGATAGGGTCACGGAACCTGATGCGGGAGGACACGGAACCTGATGCGAGAGGCTGCAAAGTTACGAATGATCTCCAGCCTGTGAAGGGAGGAGTTGGGGAGGCAGCTACGCAGTGAGTTTGCGTAGTCGAGCCTCAATGGAGTGTATGAGGGTTTCAGCATTACGTGATGGGAGCGACTGATCCACGATCATCAAGCAAGAGCTGGGAATATAACAGATCCCTCCGCTCTCACTACCTTGGACATGTACACACAATTTCTAAACCACATATATTCACTATCTAGTATGTTGAGGACCTTTCTGGCAGACTTATCGACCATGTGACATACCTGTAGTGTTTGCAATGGTCACAGGTAATCCTTGAAACTGGTGGACTTGAATCCCAGCGGCCCCTAGAGCGTTGAGGTTGATAGTCTGTAAGCCAGGCACTGAGGATAACTGAGCTGCGTTGACAGTGACGGTCCCAGAGGGCAGTGAGGCTGGCGCTAGCTGGGCTACGGTTGTCCCACCAGCAGTCTGGGTCAGTCCTTGAAGCGAAGCCAGAGTGATTGTCTGACCTTGATTCTGAACCTGGGCATTTTGAACATTCCCCAACTGGATAGTCTGCCAACCCATCTGTCCAGAGAGAGACATGGGGCCCCGGATAATGATGGGGCCTGAATTTGGCAACGTTTGGATCTGAAAATTCTGCAGTGCCTCCTGGGGAATCGTCTGAGCGGTGAACGTCTGCCCGGGGATGGAAGAGGCCTGTAGAGACTGAAGGGTTTGTTGTGTGACTCCTTGGATGATCTGCGGTTGCAAAAGGATCTGCTGCTGTTGGTCTGAGTCCTTTGGTTGAATCTGTTGGAGGAGGACTCCAGTTAGCTGGGTAGAGTCGGTCGTTTGTAAGTTCAACCGATGGGGAGCGGTTGTCGTGTGGACCTGGACTCGTGCCGGGGTCCCGACGGTCGAATAACTCACCGTAGCGTTCTCCAACTGCCCCGCCGTGGTCGTTGTGACAAACGTGTTGGCGTTCGTTGTGAACGGGCTAGTCGAGGTGGTGGACTGGATGGAGGCGTTGGACGTCACAAGGCTGCTGACGGAGCTCACTGGACACAGCGCCGTGGAGGTCACAGGAGACATGCTGTCGTCGGGGGTGACCCCTTCTCCAGAGGACATGGTCGTCGATTGCGAGTTAGATGCCATCGTGGCATTGGTGACATTACTGACGGGCACCAGTGTGACATTCCCGTTTAAGTTCATCGGGAAGTTGGCAACAAACTGAGCCTGGGTAGGGATGACATTGTTGGAGCCACTTGGTCGGAGCTGCACCGCCTGCTGAACTAGGTTTGGCATCGTGGTCATTATGTTGCCCTGGGACGTCCTGTTGGTGGTAATTATCTGTTGATTTGAGCCGGGGATGATCTGAATGTGGCTGGAGGCATCCTGCTGGGACGGCGAGGTGGTGGCAAACTGCAACTGCTGCCCATCCACCGTCTGAAACTGCGGAATCACCTGATACTGGATGTTCTGCATGGCCCCAGCCAGGCTGGCAAAGACCTGCTGGTTCTGGAGGTTGGACGCCGACACCATGTACTGACCGCTGCCGGCGCTCGCTATGGGCCGGTTTTTCATGGCCGTCTCGCTCCCCGACTGCCCCGAAGGATCGCCGTCTTGCTCCTTGGAAGCACCCGATCCCGAGGAAGACGGGGAGCCGGACGTGATGGTGGGGATGATCATCTGCCAGCCGTTGGCCGCTTGCGTGATCTGGGCTGTGGTCAGGTCGAGTTCCGACGGCGCGCCTTGCTGCTGCTGCGGGATCATCCCCTGGGCCGCTGCATTCTCGGAGGGCGACTCGATCCGGCTACAGGTTGCTGCCAGCAGAGCGAGCGGGGACGGCTGGGACTCCTAAACGAGACAACAAGAAGGAGTTGGAGGAGGAGGAGGAGGAGGAGGAAGAGGAGGGGTTGAGTGCCAAAAAAAAAAAGTGGGCTGTACATTGATTAGAGTGCGGGGCTTACACAGGAAGATAAACACTCCGATTCTCTCCCCCCACCACCACCACCCGTCTCTTCGGCCACACGCGAAGAAGAGAGGAGACGGAGAGAAGATCTTTGTTCCAAGAGCCATTTATTTATTTTGTGTATTTACCTGGTTGGGGTTAGAGCTGTTGTGCTGGACATAGCCACCACCCCCGCTCTCGCCAGCCAAGGCAGCCATCTCTTCGGTTTGATCCTGATCTGGGAGGGGAAGAGGGAGGGAGGGAGGGAAAGAGGGAGGAGAGAGAGAGAGAGAGGGAGGGAAAGAGGGAGGGGAAAGAGAGAGAGAGGAGGGGAGGGAGGGAAAGAGGGAGGGGAGAGAGAGGGGGAGGGAGGGAAAGAGGGAGGGGAAAGAGAGAGAGAGAGGGGAGGGAGGGAAAGAGGAGGGGAAAGAGAGAGAGAGAGGGAGGGAGGGAAAGAGGGAGGGGAAAGAGAGAGAGAGAGGGAGGGAGGGAAAGAGGGAGGGGGGGAGGAGAGAGGGAGGGGGAAAGAGGGAGGAGAGAGAGAGCGAGAGCGAAAAAAAGAGAGGGAGGGGAAAGAGAGTGTGGGAGAGAAAAGAGGGAGGAGAATGAGAGAGAGTGAGAGAGAGGGGGAAAGAGGAAGGGAGAGAGGGAGGGGGAAGACAGAAAAATAAAAGAGAAGGGAGGGGGAAGAGAGAGGGAGGAGAGGGGAGGGAGGGGGAAGAGAGAGGGAGGGGAGGGGAGGGAGGGGGAAGAGAGAGGGAGGGGAGGGGAGGGAGGAGAGAGGGAGGAGAATGAGAGAGAGAGGAAGGAAGGGAGAGAGAGAAAAAAAAACTGCTTTAAATTCAGTGCCATTACAACTGAAAACTCCACACGCAGTCGGGAATCCCGGTCGGGAGGGATCGATCCCGGTGGGTCGGTCGGTCGGTCGGGATCCCGGTCAATGCTATTAAAACACGGTCAGATCTCAATATAAACACCACTTTACCACAGCTTTTTCGCCGATTAATCGGATTTTAACACTCGGCGAGGAAAACGCGACACTTTTTTTTTTGTCCCCCCCTCCCCCACACACACACCCGGTAAACACCCCCTCCCTCCCCTTACCGCTCATTCCGGGGCTCGGTCAAGGCTCGGCTTTTTTTTCTTTTCCCCCCCTTTAGGGATGACATAAACTTGCGACGGCGCCACCTAACGTGCTAGCGGTAGTGACGAGCGCCACCCACCCTTTTTTTTTCTGGGGCCCGCCGTGATGGACGGCGACCCTTGCCCAATCACGAGCCGACCGGCGGAGGCGGGTCGAACGGCTGAACCAATCGGAGAGCCGCGGTGCTGGCGCGTGACATCCCGCCGCCCCCACCACGGGGGTGGGTGGGTGGGGCGAGAGGGGGGGGAGGGGGGGAATGCGTGAGTGGCGTGCGTCTTAGCCAATAGTGAAGCGGCACTCGCGGCGCCCACCACCGGTCCGGCCAATCAGAGGGGCGGGAGGCCCGGCGGGGCCCGCCCACCGTGCTAGCGGGTTAGGTTGCGCGGCGGCGGCGGTTGATTGACTGAGGCGCGAGCGAGTTGTCGGACGAAAGTTTTTTTTGAGGGGAAAAAAAAAGGCGCCATTTGCCGCCTCCTCCTTTCTTCCTCCTTCTTCCCACACGGATCGACCCACCACGACGACGACGACCCGCCCCCTCCGCCTCCGCCCCCGCCCCCCCCACAACACCACAGCGATGACAGCAGCCAGCGAGGGTTAGTTTAAAGTTTTAAAATGACTCGAGAGATCTATATACATATATATAGAGAGAGAGAGATTATAGATAGGAAATGGTGGTGGTGGTTGTTGATTATTTTCTGTCACACACGCACACACACGCGAAAAAAAAGGCGCCACCGCCGCCTCATGACCTTCTGTCCCTCTCAACACCTTGGCTGCCCGCACTGAGGGTCCACTCCCTCCCTCCCTCCCTCCCTCACCCACTCCCTGACACTCACTCCAAACGCCCCCCTCCTTCATTCTGACCCCCCCCCCCTCAAATCCCCACCTAAATACCCCTCCACCCCACCCCAAACACCCACCTCCTCCACTCCACCCCCCCTCCCCTCCCCATATCTCCTTAAACCTGACCCTCCCCCCAAATTCCCCCCTCCTCCATCTGCCCCCCCCAAAAAAAAATTCCCCTCCTTTACCCTAACTCCACAAATACCCCCTTCACTCTGTCCCCCAATACCCCCTTCACTCTGTCCCCCCAATACCCCCCTTCACTCTGCCCCCCCCATACCCCGCTCCTTCGCTCCTTTATTCTGACTCCCCTCTCCCCCCCCCCCCCCCCCCCAATAGCCCCCTCCTTTATCCTAACCCCCAAATTTCCCCCTTCACTCTGGCTCCCTCCCATATCCCCCTCCACTTGGACCCCCCCCCGCCTTCATTCTGACCCTCTCAAGTACCCCCTGCACCACCAAATATCCCCCCGCTCAACCCCCAAACCCCCCTCATACCCCCCTCCTCCACCCCCAAATACCCCTCTCCATTCTGAGAACCCTCCAAATACCCCCAACTCCACTCCACCCCCCCTCCCCTCCCCATATCTCCTTAAACCTGACCCTCCCCCCAAATTCCCACCCCCATACCTCCCTCCTTTATCCTGAGCCCCACAAATACCCACCGCAATACCCGCTCCTTCACCCCAACCTCACAAATACCCCACTCCATCCCCCAAATACCCCCCTTTACCCTATCCCCCACCCCAAATACTCCTTCATCTCAACCCCCAAATACCCTAACTTTCACCCCCTTAAATATGCCCCTCCTTCACCCCACAAATAGCCCCTTCTTCACCCCCCTATATACCCGCCTCCTTTACTCTGAGCCGCCTAATAATATCCCCTCCTTCACCCCAACCCTCTCAAAAAACCTCCTTGACTCCAATCCCCCAAATATTCCCCTAGTTTACCCACCAAATACTCTATCCTGACATCCCCAAATACCCCCTCCTTCATCCCCTAAATACCCGCCTCCTTTACTCTGATTCCCCTAATATCCCCCTCCTTCACCCCAATTCTCCCAAATATCCCTCTTCATCTCCCCATTATATCCCCTCCTTCACCCCCAATATTGAAACTCCTTCACCCCCTGATATGCCCCTACTTCAGCCCCCAAATAACACCTCCTTCTGACTCCCAATACCCCCCTCTTTCAGCCCATCCCCCAAAACCACTAAACTTGCACTCCTTCATCCTGAACTCCCAAAAGACACTCGCCCACCTCCACCCCAAAATCCTTCTTACCCGGAACTCCACCCCAAATACTCCCTCCTTCCCCCCCAAATACCCCCTCCTTCACCCCCTAAACACCTGCCTCTGACCCTCCTAATACACCCCTCCTTCACCCAACCCTCCCAAAAACACTCCTTCAGCTCCCCCCAAATATCCGCCCTTCATCTCCCCATTATATCCCCTCCTTCACCCTCCAATATCACCCTCCTTCAGCCCGCAAATGCCTCCTCCCCAAATACCCCTGTTCACCCCCAAATACCCATCCTTTACAGTTACCCTCTCCTTCACCCCCTAAATACCCCTTCTTCAACCCCAAGTACCCACCTCCTTTACTTTGACCTCCCTAATATCCCCCAACCTTCCCAAAAAACTCCTTCACCCCAATCCTCCTAAATATCCCCCCTTCATGCCCCCATTCTCTTCTTCACCCCCCCCTAATATTCCCCTTCTTCAGCCCCCAAATGCCCCTCCTCCGGCCCCCCAAATGCCCCCCCTTCTCCATGAATCCCCCAAATCAACCTGAACCCAGAAAACAACCCCTCCTTCACCCCGAACTCCCAAAATACACTCTCCCACCCCAAAACCCCCTTCCTTCACCCCCCAAATACCCCTCTTTCATCCCCCCAATACCCCTACTCCACTACCCCCTCCTTCACCCTGAAACCCACCCCAAATACCCTTCCTTCACCTGAACATCCTCAAATACCTCCTTCACCCCCCCAAAAAAAAACGTTCACCCACGAAATACTCTCTTCTTCACACTGACTCCCTCTTGCCCTGACCCTCACCCCCACCCTAACCTGCCTCACACCGCCCATCCTGACCCCTTTCCTAAGAGGCTTTAAGGCTTTAATTCTTTCAACTCAACATGATGCACTTAGTACTTGCTTTTCACATGATGTCAAAAGGTCCTTATAATATTCATAACAACAAACAAACAAACGTTCAACAAACAGTTATGAAGTGAATCACCAATTTTATGGGGTGGGGAGCGGGATTGTTGGCCGGGACAATGGGAGAAAGAGACTCGCTTCTCTTCAAATCGTGCCAAGTGGTCATTTTTAAACTTGTAGTTTTAGACTTAAATAATTCCACCCTAAAGTAAGTGAAAACACAGCCAGCTGAAACTTGATACATTTGCATGGGATAATTTCCATTTAATTTTGACCACTAAAGTTATGTTCTCATCGAAAAGAATGCAGTTCTACTACCTAAATAGTACTCAAGTTAGATTGCAACCATCAATGGCAAGTTTCAACTAGGGCCTTTGTTCTGTTATATTAAATTTTGTGAAGGTCAATCCAGTTAGGTGTGTTCCACACTGTCAGTGGACTTTGTTTAAATAACTTGTTTGCCAGCTATTATTAAATTTGCCTTGTAACACTGAATTTGGACCCTGGATTCATTGCCCTGGTCTCTTTCTCCTCTAATGATTATCCTTGCAATTTATATAGTGCCCGATTACGTAGTTGAGATATCTCAAAGTCTGATATCAGGATATATAGTAAAGTGTAGTGACTGTGTATTTGCAGGCCCACATGGCAGCCAATTTGGACACAGCAATGTTCAACAAAAAGTTGTGAAGTGAACGATCAATTTTATCTGGAGGCTTGTTGTCCAGGACAGCAGAGGAAACTGCCTTCTCTTTTCGGACAGTGGGATCTTTGGCATCCACCTGAACAGGCAGACGGGCCTCGGTTTAACAATCTCGTCTGAAGGATGGCACCTCCGCTAATGCAGTGCCCCCACAACACTGTACTGGAGTGTCAGCCTGAATTATGAGTTCAAACTTCCAACATGGGAACCAAGCTGTCTCCTTGCACTCAACTTTCCCAAAGCATTGAACCCACAACCTTCTCTGAGTCTCTATTCTAAAGATGAAGTGTCTGGCACTGAGTTTGAGGCAATAATTGTGTCATTTTCAACTACAATCATATACCGTGACACTGGCATATGTATAATATATATATCTGTGATGTGGCACACTGTGTTTAGTGTCAGCATGTGATCCCTTGAACAATACTCCTGTCAGCTTAAAATTGAATTTGGCAATGTGGCAGTTTATGGGATGCGGCGACAAGAACTTCAGGGTATCTGATATTAATTTCATTACACTATATAATCACTCAGTTACACGGTGAATTTAACAGTAGGTGTGGAATAAAGGGTTCTTTTATTCTCTGTGTGAGATCACTTAGCCTCAATTAAAGCTGTGTCCCTCTGTGATTTAAAGCTATTTTCTTTTATAATATTTTTGGTGACTTCAGGATCACGAAAGAGTTTTGACTGAAGACAACCCAAGGCACTGGACAGTGAAGGGTCTGCACCCGAGCTGGGGGTTAGAGTCAAGAGGGGTGGAGGTGGGAGGGTGACCGAAGATACAGTCGCAGAGGAAGGTCTTGAGATGGGCCTTGAAGGAGGCAAAGTTGGGCTCGAGGCAGAGGGGTTCCAGAGTGTAGGAGCAGAAAGGCTGAAAGCCCGATATTTGGGGATTTTCACATGTGTCACGTACCCAGCTGACCAAAAATCCTTTACCTTTACAGCCTTTCCCCTCTGAGATGTCTTTTCAAGGGTGACATCTTATCTACCCACATCTGTTACTCAAACAAATGTGCAAACCTGTTTGTGAGAAGACAAACAAGATATTTGTTCCTGAAATCATATCCTGTGCGTGGCGCAAGCAATGAGGCATTCCCTTATTTAACCAGATGGCCGTCAGTTATTGTTTAATGTTCACACACCCGGAGCAGAAATTATATAATAGCTATAATCCTTGCATTCGATAAAGTGCATATAACATCCAAACTCAAAGTACTTCAGAGGCAATTGCTATCAAGTGTAGTGCGTGTAATTATACACAAACACAAAGCAAATAGTGAACCTGTGGAGTAGGCTCCCTGGGGAGACGGTTGAAGCAGGAAGTGTTGATTC